TAAAATAGGTTGAGACTGGATGTAGGATGATTACACCACCTCTGAACCAGAATATATCTTGTGTCACCTTTTATATTCTGCTCCCAATACATACTTCAGTTCTCACTCACCTTCACAACTTCCCAGCAAAACAACTTGCTTACTAAACTGTCCAGTGAACTTCCCAGTTCACTGTGAATCATACTCGTTTCTATTCCTCAGAGTGATCTATTTTGATAGGTCTAAATCCTTCATACATATGTGTTTTGTCTATTCACAAACGTCAAACAATGTTCAAGGTCATAAGATCATCTTTGTGCCTTAAACATTAACACAGCAGCCTTAATCAGCAGCCTGCTCAGCTCCAAAAGTGTTCAATAGCCAACTCCCAGTTACCTGGGAGTCTGCTCCCTGAAGATTCAGCAACCTGCTCCTTGAGCCAGCTGATCTTGGCAAACACATTTGCATCCCGTTTACCCCATCTCTCACTCAAAGGGTCATAACCTTTGTTACTATAAAGTGTCACACGTTTGAGGTCAAGACTTCCGCTATATGTTTCAGTATCTCCCAAAAGATATTGGAACTCATTCTGTTAGAGGAGAAATGGTTGAAAATGAAAAGATTTTAAAAGACTATTCACCCCCTCCTCTAGACTTTTACCTCACTTGGAACCATCAAATTTCATTGCAATATGACAAGTTGGTAAGGAGCATAACAAAGGGACAAGTTATCGATGATGGTGATGATGAGAAACATGATGAGTACGATGAAGAAGAAGAGTGATCTCTCTGTGCTGTCCTTGAACTTTTATAATATCATTACATCTACATGTTTATTAGCTTTAGTTAGTTTAGTTTTACACAAATTCATGGTAGATGGAATTGGGTAGCATGTTGTAACATATTATATATGTAGTTGCAAACTTACAACAATCAACTGTTAAATAAAATTTTATATTGATATTTTTTGTCAGCATTAGTGTAATTTTAATATTTAAAGAAGTATATGGAATTGGGCATCTATGGATTACTAAATCAATGCAAATTAATAAAATTGTCACGAACTGCTATATTGTGTACTTTAGCATTAAGGCTGCCTCTAAAAATCATTCACGACAGCATTTAAAGTTGCATCTGATGATTTTTTGGAGCGGTAGATAATAGTGCCTCTAATAACATCTTGAGTCATTAAAAATAGTTGCCACTAATGACATTTTGAGGCAAAAGGCTACAGTTGCTTCTAAATATATCTTTTTAGAAGCATACAATTTTTTGTCTCTAAAGAGGGGGTTTTAGAGGCAACCTTCATTTTGCGACGAATTATTTGATGGCAACCACTAAGTTGCCTAAAAAAGCATTAGAGGCTTCTTTCCCATTCTTAGAGGCAATTTTGTAATGCCTGCACAAATCAATTTTATTGTACTGAAAACATGTGTTCAAATAAGATAAAACATGTATACTTTTATACATATTTTCAAAATTACATAAGTCTTTCATCTTAGTGTTTAATTATACTAAATCAATCAATCTTAAACCCCCTTTTGGTTACAATTTCATAATGAAGAAATTTACTTTTTCTTGTGGATACAAATTATACTTCAATATACTGTGGTATTAGGGAAATTATTGAATTTATTTTGAGTCACACACGACTTTAGTGCCGTCACTTACTATCTTCTTTGAGTTATCCCAAAAGTTTCATATTTTTGTTTCTGGAAAGAAATATGTGATCCACAATATTTTATTTTATTAAACTCAAATCTCAACCACAACTTTTATTTTTTAATATAAATAGACGCAACATTTCTTGATATTTAAAAACCCAAGCTGTGACAATTATAATTTGGCAAAAAAGTCTTATAGCTACCCTATGTGAGAACATGTTTTTCAAAATTATTCCTGAAACAAAGCTTATTTATAAAAATATGACCAATAGTTACTACCCCCGTCTTAGGTAAAGGTTCCCGCTAATTATTCTCAACGTAAATTTTGTTTAATCTTTTACCTTATCTATCCACCTTTTATCAAAATTGATTTTTTCCCGATTCATAAAACCTTTAATGTAGCTTCTGAATATGTGATTTTATTTACTAAAAATAATTTTATTATTGATAGAAACAGTTAACTTTATGACTAGTCAAACATGATAAAGGAAATGGAAACCTTTACTGAGGACAAACTAAGTACGAACTACAAGCATATTAGAGCATCCACAATGGTATATTGCTAACATCCTATAAATTTTGACAAAGCCGTAATAAGTGGAATAGTCACCCACCTCATGTTGGAGTCACGTAGGTGGACATTAAAATTCAGAAATCATGTGCAATGGTTCATGTCAACAGCCCGCGTAACTCTACCCACGTGTAACCCGTATTACTTTCAAATTAAATAACTCACTAGCTAGATGAATACTCGTGTGATGCACGATACATCTAGAGCAGAATAACAATTTCTTTAATATTAACTTTGTTTATGATGGTACATAATATGCAATTGTTTTAAATAAAAAAATATAGTAGAGCTTATACGTTTTAACTTTGAATATATAATGATAGTTTGTAGGAAAAAAGAAAATGTTAATCGTATTAAAAATTGCAAGTAAATTTAAAATAAAGGGTAAGATGTGAGAATAAGTACTACTTGATACTGAAATACCATGATTCCACATTTTAAGTGACTCATTCGATGACCCTAAGAAAACTTTATAAAAATGAATTGAAGCATTTAAATTTGAAAGGAATTATGATATCCAATGAGACGAATGATAACCTCGAAAGTAAAACTTATGATGTCCTAAGATGGCAGGCCAAGAAGAGAAGGATATACTCCGTAATAAAGGAGTAATAATTTCCTTTCTTATCATTTCTATGTTCATAATCACAGACCAAGATGTTGAGAAATTAATTGAACCAAAAAATGCTTTTTTTTCCTCTCTTCTTTGCTACCATTGTTCCAAAGATCATTAACCCACAAAGAAATAAAAAATAGAGGGAAAACATATCACAATAAGAAAAGAGAAAAGAAGTGAATTCTATTCTTTCTTATTATCATATATGACTTGAAAGTGATCACATTTTTAAAAATCAGCCATAATTTAGTAAAATCCTCCTACATTTGAGTTCTTGCTCACTTATACAAGGAAAATTGATAACAATAATCTCAACTATTGACGATCCGCTCATAATAATCTCAACTATCGATTATTTTAGAATAATCCTAACTTCAGGGGCCTTTCGCCAATAATGGTCCAACATGACCGGTTACCTGTTTAGTTAATTGAAAAAGAAATATCAGATTATAATAATCCGAACTATCTGTCGAATTCTATTGGACTCAAAAAATTAAATTAAATTTTCTATAAATAGAAAGGGCAGAAAAGATTATATATCATTTTTACTTATTAGCTTTTCAGGTAGTTTATGGAAAAACTTATATAAATTTCGAAATTAAAATTTCATAACATGTTAGGTATTATAAGTATACAGTAACAAATATAAAATATATAACGAAGAAGAGTAAAAAAGTCAATTTAACAAGCTTGAAAAAATGAAATTCAAATAACAAAATGAAATGCCCGATTAAAAATTTAAAAGCTAATCATCCGAAAATATTGAACCATTTTAAATTAGTTAAAAATCAATAAAAATGATGAATTGGTAAAAGAATCCAAATTTGATTATTTATCAAAAAATAAAAAAAATGAAAATAAAAATAAAATATAAAATGTACTAGTAACATTTTTTACTTTGTACGGAGTAACATTTTTTAAGAAATGTCACCGACTTAGATCAGTAACACCCAAATCGGATGTATTGACTGATTCTGATGAAATTTATAAAGTTTTGGCTGAAGTGGTTGTATTGGTTGATTCTGCTGATTTATGAAAAAATTATATTTAAAATATATTTTATTAAGAAAACCAAGAAATATTTATATGAAAAAACACCTAAAATGAAAAAGTTACTTCGACCAATGCAGTCAAAAACATCAAAAGTTACGTATTTGGTGAAAAAGTTGGGTGCTAAAACAAACATTTTCACCAAAAGAGCTACGGAGTACTACCTTTTGGTACCAGTTCTTATTCACATGATCAACACAAATCACTCTTAATCTTTTAGTTTATGTACTTTATATATTAAATTTCTACTAAATTTGATTCAAGTGTTTGTAACTTAGTAAACTTTTAATGTAATTTTTAAATATGTAATATTTTTTCTTTCTTAACAAAAATTGAGCACAATCTGTTTATAAACGGGTAAATTGGGAAAGAGGGAGAGTATTAATTAATCTTTCCCTCTGCGACATCTTCCGCCGCCCAGGCATGCTCTAAACTAGGCCTGGGACTGGTTCGGTTCCTAGGCCAAATATGTGGAACCGTTTGAAAATATGAAATTTTACTAACGGTTCGGTTCTTATAAATTATTTTATAGAACCGATAAGGAACCGAACCGTTCTTAACGGTTCGGTTCTTGTCATTTAACGGTTCCTAGTCTTCGAAAAAATTCTTACAAATCATGACTAAATTTTTGCCAAAAAGACATTTTACGTTTGAAATTACGATACAAATATGCTTAAACAATTAAATAGAATAATAATTTTAAATACTCTGGACCTTCAAAGTGCCGACCCGCTGGAGTTCTGACCTAATGAGAGGCCTAAGAAGCCTAAGAGAACCGGTTGAAGTGAATAATAGTTTTAAATAGTTGAATAACTAAACTAAAATAATGAATGTAATATAAAAATAAGTAAGTAAATATACATAGAAATATATATATACTCATAAGAAATATATATAATTTTAATTATTATATATAACGGTTCCTTAACGGTTCCTAGTACATATTTTTTTCAGGAACCGAGAACCGAACCATTAATAAAAAATAGGAACCGAACCGTTAAAAAATAACTAATAAATGTTGGAACCGAACCGAACCGGGTCATAACGGTTCGGTCCGGTTCGGTTCTCCGGTTCTTGGTTCCAAAGTCCCAGCCCTGCTCTAAACACTGATCACCGCCATCCACTTCTCAGTTCTCATACCCATCCCTTCCTTACTCGTGTTTTCTCTCGAAAGCTGCAGAGTTTCTTCGAAGAACAATGGAGGGAAATAGTGATGCTATTCTATTTAACAACCATTTCCCCCAACCTTCGGTCATATTCTTCTCAAACTGGTAAATGAATTAAATTTCTATTGTTCTATTCATTTTCGTTCTGCCAAAGATCAGTGTTTTCACTCAAATTCATCTTTTTCTATTTTCACTTAAACACCGGATATCTGGACAGTATTTGGCATTGATGTGCAAATGGTTCTTTGGCATTGATTTTTAATGGATTCCTTGTTTGAGAATGTCTTAATTTGTATGCCTTCTTTTACTTTATAGAATTTAAGCCTTATTGCTAATTAACCTGGGACAAAGGCTGAGACTTTAAATTAGATTTCAATTCAGTGAAGGTGAATGTAAGGGTGTTCTAGAATTACATTTTCGAAATTCAATAGTTGGGATTTAAGAAAGGGGTTCATTTTACTTGTGGTATAAAAGAGATTGATACTTCAGTTCATTTTACCTGCGGTAAAAAAGATGGATACATCGAAATTTCCTACGACTTTGGAATAGCTTCAAAGTTCATGGGTTTGGGTTTATTCGGTTTTTTAGCAGTATATATGTTTCATGAATTTTTCGAACCTAGAAGCTGAAATATTCAAATGTTTATACTTTATACTGAGTACATTTCAAATTTATTTTCGTCTCTTTCTAGGATTGTTTATATTAAGCACTGAATTATTTACAATTTATCTTAGCCACTTTCCAGTAAGGATTTGCTTTTCAAATTATATGGAGTATATAATATGAAGTAGCAGTTTTGCAGGGCATAAATAACCCATCAAAGGTTATTGTTCTCTTTTTACTTAATTTTCATCCTATAATGTTAGTTTTAACAATTACCAATATAAGTAAATTTGAAATTTACGAAAACTGTTCCGATTTGTTGAGGAGCAAAAATAAATGGACTCTTCAACATCATATAAGGTATGACTTTATTTCAATATGATAGGAATAATTATAGAATGAGATAAATGCTAATTAAGAAGTTGCCTAAAGCACACATATGATTAATAATAACAATATTGGGTTTCTTTGCTTATATCATTACTCCCCTCTTGGACATCAAGCTTGTCGTCTGATAGGAACTAAAAATTCATAACAGTACATTGACATCTATTAGCAAGGAAAAGTGCAGAAACGGGGAAAAAAAATACAGACGAAGCACTTCGAGAGGCCTCACTCTCCCACATCCCTATTCCCACTAATTTTCTGCCTGCCTTATTCTACGCCCCAACTCATATTTATCATATTCCTTATGGGCCATGTTACGATCCCACACCGGCCAATTATGGGATTGATTGGATTGATTGGTGGCTTATAAGCAAGGTGTTCCCTCCTCCTAATCGGCTGGTCTTTTAGGAGTGAGTTCTACACCTGGGCTTATGGCACTGGTATGGGCCTAGTATGGGCTAGGTCCGTAACAATTGGTATCAGAGCCGTCCCCATCTTCCTAGTCCTGACACTCGGAGTGGTGGCCCATGGAGTGGTGGCTTGGGCCCTGGGGGTGCCAACCGTGACCAACATAGCCGTGACAAACGAGGACGTTGGCACTTCGAAGCGTGGGGTATTGTTACGATCCCACACCGGCCAATTATGGGATTGATTGGTGGCTTATAAGCAAGGTGTTCCCTCCTCCTAATCGGCTGGTCTTTTAGGAGTGAGTTCTACACCTGGGTTTATGGCACTGGTATGGGCCTAGTATGGGCTAGGTCCGTAACAGGCCAGCCCATTGCTATTTAGTTACAGGGCCTAAACTCCTTTTATTATACACTATTAAAAGACAATATTATTCTTATTACTAACACTATCTAGGTCCCTATCATCACTGCCCCTTGACATCCACCTTGTCCTCAAGGTAGGGAGTAAGAAACAACCATGTCATTCAGCTTCATCCTCGCTCCTCTGCCTTCCCAATACTTCATCTCAGATACATGAAACGGAAAAACCTTTCCATTTGGATCGACAGCTTTAGCAACGAGACATTCACAATGATTGGTATTGGTAGTAGCTTGCTCAAGGTTGTTTGCACGAGAAGATGATGGATATGCATGACTCTCATTCTGCTCTTGATTACCACTAGTCATCATCTTATTTGATTCCTTATAGCACCTTAGTATGACTTTTATTATTATGATTATTACTCTTGTTAAAATGTTTTTTCTCTTATAATGGCATCACACATCATTTATCTTTAGTTTTTATATAAATGTTCCTTGTTATGAAGTCATGCTCAGCTATATCAAGCAAACTTGCCTGAAAAATCTCTGCATTTTCGATCACATCTCTATTACAAGTCTACAACCACCACTCAATGACAAAACTGATTTGATTCATAGGTGCACAGTTCCATGTACATGTGAATACACATTAACTTCAAAACGTTAGGTGCTTCCGTCGCAACCAAATTCGGTGTTTTCTTGATCTTTTTCCAGTTTGACCATGAACCTCTCGATTTTGGAGTCTCATCTCCTTCACTGCCAGAATTTCAAGTACTTCTCGCAGATTCTATCACAGATGGTGTCCACTGGGTTCATTAAAGACACTTATGCCGCTAGCAGAATTCTCAAGTTTTCAGCTGATTCTCCCTTCATCGGCATCAAATACACTGAAATGATATTTGGTCACATTGAAAATCCGAATTGTTTTTCGATAAACACCATGATGAGAGTTTATGTGCATCATTACTTGCCCCAAAATTCATTGTTTTTGTATAAATCAACATTGAGAGATAACTTGTACGTGGATAATTATACGTACCCAATTCTTTTTCAAGCTAGCATTCTCCGGTGTTCAATATTTGAAGGTAGAGAGTTACACAGTCATGTCTTCCAAAGGGGTTTCAGATCAGATGTCTATGTTCATAATACTTTGATTAACATGTACGCTGTGTGTGGACATATTGGTGATGCCAGGAAGGTATTTGATGAAAGTCTTGTGTGTGATTCGGTTTCTTGGAATTCAATCTTGGCAGGGTATGTTCAAGTGGGGAATGTTGAGGAAGCAATGCTAATCTATGATCACATGCCGGAGAAGAATGTAATCGCATCGAACTCTATGATCGTGTTGTTAGGTAGGTGTGGCATGGTGGTTGAGGCTTGTCGTTTGTTTAATGAAATGGTTGGCAACGATTTGGTTTCCTGGACCGCATTGATTTCTTGCCATGAGCAAAATGGGTTTTATAGAGAGGCTTGGGATTGGTTCGTGCGCATGACTTCCATTGGGATTACTATAGATGAAGTTGTGGCGGTCAGTGTGCTCTCAGCTTGCGCACATTTATTGATTCTAGAGACCGGAAAATCAGTACATGGGATGGTCACAAAGGTTGGTTTTGAATCTTATGTTAATCTCCAAAATGCTTTAATTCATATGTACTCTTGTTGCAGTGACGTAAATTCGGCACAAAACGTGTTTGATACAAGTATTCATTTGAACCAAATCTCTTGGAACTCAATAATTGCTTGTTATGTGAAGTGTGGATCAGTAGAAAAAGCCAAGGAGATATTTGATTCTATGCCTGAGAAAGATCGTGTCTCGTGGACCACAATCATTTCTGGCTATGCTCAACATGATCAGTTTATAGAGACTTTAGCTTTATTTCAGGAAATGCTACATGGACAGATTGAGCCTGATGAGATAACTTTAGTTAGCGTGGTTTCAGCTTGTGCCCACCTTGCAGCATTTGAACAAGGCAAATGGATTCATGGGTATATAAGGCAAAAAGGCATTAAGGTTAATAACATTCTAGGTACCACTCTTATTGACATGTACATGAAATGTGGATGCACAGAGAATGCAATGGAGGTTTTCTATGGAATGGAAGACGCTGGCGTTTCTTCTTGGAATGCTCTAATTCTTGGATTGGCCATGAATGGACAGGTACAAAGATCTCTTGAAATATTTGAAGAGATGAAGAAATATGGAGCAACTCCCAATGAGGTAACCATGCTTGCAGTTCTTGGTGTGTGCCGGCATATGGGTATGGTGGATGAGGGTCGTCATTATTTTGGTTCAATGGTGAAGTTGTACAATATTGAACCTAATTTGAAACACTATGGGTGTATGGTTGACTTACTTGGCCGTGCAGGACTGCTTAAAGAAGCTGAAAAGCTTATTCAGAGCATGCCTATGGCTCCTGATGTTCCCACCTGGGGCGCTTTGCTTGGAGCTTGCAAAAAGCATGGCGACAGTGAAATGGGAAATCGGGTTGGTAGGAAACTTCTTGAGCTTCAGCCCTACCATGATGGTTTTCATGTTATATTGTCCAACATCTATGCTTCAAAAGGAAACTGGGACAGTGCTCATGATGTTAGAGGTGTAATGTCACAACATGGCGTGTTCAAAACCCCAGGCTACAGTATGATTGAAGCTGATTGTATTGTTCATGAATCCTTTGCAAGCGACTAGTCTCACACTCGGATCCAATAAAAGATGGAAGTCATGATTGGGATATTGGATCTAAGGTGCATATATTATATACTCTTGGTATTGTTAGGTTAGTATAATTATTTTGTTACTCTCACTTGTTAAGATATTGTAGAGTTTAAGTTAGAACTAGTTCTGGCTACTCAGTGCTCAACCAATATATTTATACAATATTTTGTGTTTCTCAGTAAATTCGTGGATGAATTGAAGTCAACATGATGTGCTGAATTTAAAATGGTGTTCGACAGTTTGAGGTATGCTTTTAACTATTGAGCTGAAATGATAGTATGCGAAAGTGTATCTAAAATTGAATTTATTCATGTGTAGTGTTGCGTAGGATCAAATTAAATTCAAAATGAAAATTACTTGCTGATTTCCTTTGCCGATAAGCATTGTTGAATTCAGATACTTCCACTGAACAGGTAAGGAGCATACATTTCATTATCTTATAGCCTTAAATATGAGCTTATAAATAAAGATTTATTGGTCTTCTCTATAGGGATTTATGTGTCATTTGTTGTTTTGTTATAATCCTATTGCGTCAGAATTCATAGTTAAAGGATCAACATGATACATTTTATGAAAATTGGTATATACACCGTCTGGGCGTCTATTCATCATATCAGATTTAGGGTTTGGAAAGTATTCTTTGATTAGAATTGTTGTTAGAATTATTGCTTTGGAACATTTGATTTTTTTCAGTCCTTAAATATTTCCAATTTTTTTTTCTGATTCATGTTAGCCGACCTCGAACTCTTTTGGGAATAAGGCTTGGGTGTTGTTGATTATTTTCTTTGCACAACTATTTTTATACATTTTCTTGTTAGAATGCTTTTTGTTTTTATTCTTTTCAGTATTATTGTTTGGAGTTTTGCTTTGTATTGCTTTTTGATTTTGCACTTGTTATATTTTACCATGAAATCAGTAACAGTCTATCATAATGTGTTGAGTTTTCAAAAGCTTTCTGCCGATTTACTCTAACAAACAAAAGGACATATCCTACTACATTACTCATGTAACAAGAAAGTATTTCATAAAGTTTAAAGGAGTTGTTAGAAAGTAGAAACTTCTCCCTCCGTCCCACTAACAATGAGACAAGAGGGAGTGACACGTAAATCTATAAAAAGTGGTTTATGTGGTTGATATTGAATTGATAAAGTAAGAATAAAGTAAGAATGATTCTGAGCCACACAAACTTTACCAAATAAGGTATGAGACAATCTTAGTGGGACGGACCGAAATGGTAAAATGAGACAATCTTAGCTAGAGGGAGGTAGTAATACTTTTAAAGTATGACATTTTGTTTCTTTCTGAGGGAAGAAAGTTGGGAAGGACTATTGACTATTTAGATAGAAACAGGACAATACGTAGCGGAGAAAGGGGCAACCGGACTTGCAAGAACCTCACATCACTCTCTGACTCACCCCTCTTTAGGCTACAACATTGCTTAGATTCATTTAGGGCTTGTTTGCAATCACTTAAGAAAAGTGATTTTGGCTTTTTTTTAAAGAAAAAAACACTTATTTTACCAAACACTACCAACTTTTACTTTCTCGATTTTCGTGTAGAATCTACTTTTTACTTTTTCTATTACACAAAAAACACTTATTTTACCAAACACTACCAACTTTTACTACTAATCACTTTTTCCCAAAAAGTGCTTTTATTTAAGCACAAGTGGTTGCAAACAAAGCCTTAGAAACTTTTAACCCTAATTGGCTTCCAAGGATAGTAGAATCACTACGGTATAGGTCTTGTTTAGCAATTAGCTAGAAGCTTGTCTGATAGTGACTCTGGTTGGGCAGAGAAATCAGTAGTGTATTGGATGAAGATAGCAGAGTTACAATGGCGGAACAGATAGTTGGGACTCTTTGGTAGGCCCCGCTCTCCCAGCCCAATTCTAACGTTGGGACTCTTCGGTAGGTCCCACTCTCCCAGCCCAATTCTAACAGAATTCCAGCCTACCCCGTTCTTTCCTTCTTCCCACTCTTATACTAATTCTATTCTAAAGGGCCGGCCCAAACCCATGACCAACAATCCGACATGGCCCGGAACCCTTATTTTTGCACTACCACAATTATTATTTAATACTCCCTCCGTCCCGATTTGAGTTGCAAAGTTTGACCGGCACTCGGATTAAGAAAGAATTGAAATTGGTATTTGTTTTCCCATTTTGCCCTCCCTCACACGGCGAAGAGAACTATCACAGCTAACAAACTCAGATATTGGAAAACTATTTTTTTTAAATCAAGTACAACTGTTGTCAGAGAATATGATGTGCATTATTATTCGTCTTTCTACATGGCTTATTGGAAAAAATTGAAACAGGGGAAAGGTAATGGCGAGAGCAGTGATTGTTGGCGTCCTGTCTTTGTTCAAGAACATCTCCACCTTCTTTGACAGATACATCAAGTTTCCAACCGACTAGCCGGTATCCGCAGCTTCAATAATTCGACCCGCGGCGCTAATATTTATTTCGACGAGGGCAGTGGTGATTTATCCGTGAGGTTCTTCGAGGGCGACGTCGCGGCGTCGCGGCGGCGGCGACTCACATGCGATGAACTGGGTCAACGAAGCATGTCGGATCGAAGGATCTTTAGGCGTTGATTTTTCTTCTGAGTCGGTGCCCCCTTCGTTTGCCCGTCTTCTCTAAAAGGAGTCTGTCCATGGAGAAGGATTGAGACACCATTCATGAAGATAGTTGTGCTTTGTATTGGAATTTGGGAGAGAAAGTGATAGTACGGTGGTAAGAGAAGGTGGGTGGAAATGATGATGGGTGGTGCGAAAGATTAAAAGGCAGGAGGGCAAACTTGTCACTTTAGCTGTATTGTTATACTTAAAATGGAAAGTGGAAATTCATTTTGGGACAACCAAAAAAGGAAATTTTGCAAAACAAATTGGGACAGAGGGAGTATCATTCTGTTACTATTATTATTGTACCAATATGCCCGGTTCTTCTCATATCTCCCCCCCATAGACAACCACCTTGTCCTCAAGGTGGGTGATAGGAAACAACCCTGACCATCATCTTCATCCTTGCGCCTCTACCTTCCTAGTATCTCACTGGTAGTTGGAATTTGATTTTTAGTACTTGAACCTTCATCATCACTTCCTCAGACCAGCATTTCTCTAAGGTCTTCACTCTTCACAGCCTTTTCATAGATCTCATTGTTGTCCTGAATCTGGAAATTTGCAGTCTTGTCTAGTTCTTGATAATCATCAACCATCTGTGCATATAACTTGACCCCCACTATTCAAGGCATATAGTAACAATTCTTGGATCTTGACAGAACAAGAGATCATAGAGCATCTTAATGCAGCCTTTATTTGCCAAGTACCTAATTTGATCATTCACACACTTTATCTGTCTACACAGACAATTTTGTCGTGTACAGGCAACTTGACCTGCGTAGACAAACAAAATGTGTGAATAGTGTACACCAAGCATTTCAGAATGATCATGTGACATTCATTTTTATTGGTCTAGCGCTAGATGAGTCATATTTGCTTAATATACTTCTTTGTTATCAATGATAACTTTTTAAAGCTCTTAGAATTAGACAACATTTAATTCTAAGACATATTTTGATGAATTGTAAATCTTATGAGAATTGAAGGCGCTTTGGAATGGGAGAGAAACTTTTATCAAGTTGTAACACTTGTATGTAGTGTTACTGTGTTATCATGTCAAGTTTTATTGTTTCTTTAATAATGCATCATATCATCATTCTTCTCAATTTTGCTTTTTATAATTATAAAATACAATCTTAGTTCTTCACACAAATTGGCAGTGTTCTAGAAATAGAAAATCCATTGAAATGAATATGGCCCAGGCCGAATCTTAATCTCAATCAAAATCCATGCATTTTAAGGGTTTATAAAATAGAACAACAAAATCATACCATAAAATATAATTGTATATTTTATTCAATATAGCTAAGTTAACTAATATTCCGTTCAATAAGTTATAAATTACTAAATATATTTTGGTTGTACACGTAAACTGCAATTTATAATTACTACCAATTTTTTAAAAAATAAAATGCATCCTTAAAAAAATGCAAATTCAAAAAATGCACTTCCTTCGCCGACCTGAAACAAAAAACCAATTTCGATGTCAATGTTACATCCATAAGACCCTAACCACTTATTCACTACTTTCCTCACCCATTCATTTCCAGACTCCTGTCGACGGTTTGATGTTTATTTCACAGAGTATGTAGTCTAGATATATGCTTCAAAATAGGTATTGTTTCCAATTGATACCCCCATATTTTATGCCAATATTCTATCCAATTCACATTTAGAAGCCGGCTGATAGGTATCGGAACAATCACAGAAGATAATAGGAAAAAATTTATTAACGTTTAATGAAGGAAGACATAAAAACAACGTAAGAAAAGGTTGAGACTCTTCCAGTGGCCTCACACTCCCAATTTCCCAATCCCAGATCCCAAGTTCTCCCTGTGTTATGCTTTCCCCTACCCCCTTTATAATAAAACTAAAGGGCCGGCCCTCACTTAAATTATTGGGCCTAGAACCCTATTATTGAAAAACATTAAAATAGTTAATAGACTCTTATTATTTGTAGTGCCCGAGTCCCTATCATCACTCCCCCTGAACTTCCACCTTGTCCTCAAGGTGGGGAGTAAGAAAAAACCATGCCATTCAACTTCAGCCTCGCGCCCCTTCCTTCCCAATACTTCAGCTCCGATACATAAAGTGGCAAAACCTTCCTATTTGGATTGTGAGCTCGAATCACGATTCTACATGATGTTTCTAGAAAAGGAAGTTGTTGAAATCCAGCTTGAGTGGAAGCGGATGCGAGAATGTCGTCGGAAAAGAATTATTTCTGGCGGAAGAACCAGGCGCCATGATCGGAAAAAAAATCAAGCTCTCGATACCATGTTGATAAACTGAAGAAGAGAACAACTGAATTTCTTATTGATCAAGTCTGTAATCTTACAGAGTATTTATAGACATACAAGAAGCTTCTAGATATAGCTAACTAACTAACCGTAACTCAACAGTACAAAGTAGGTAGTTAGATTCCAATAGGTGCATCTAGATATACTCCTAATATGGTAGTAGCCTGTTCAAGGTTGTTTGCCCTAGACGATGATGGATATGCTGATAGAACACTGGATAAATCAGAACAATTTCAAACAGTATATCAATCACAAGTAGTAAGAATTGAGAGAATTAGGGTTTATTGATATCTGAGAACAAGAACCGAGTACAGGGAATAGGGGGGACAGTTCGAGATGCCCAGTCTCCAACAAGCCAGTCAACGAGTCTAACAGCCTACCAAAAACAGCTAAATCACTTCTATTTATAGACAGCTTATCCACGCAGGGAATAACCAAACTGACTAACAAACTAACAAATTGTTTACTAACAGACTTCTTTATTCTTTCTTTTG